TAAAAATGTTGTGTAGCGACATATACCCGTGATTCACAAACATCAAGTTACATTTGAACGTTCGAGATTTGTATACCGAGATTTGTACGCCTCGTGCCATGGTTTCCTTGGACTGTCTTGATAGTCGCGCTCCAGTGAGAATGACTTTTAATGCAAGAAATAAGAATATATTGTGTCAATTGAATCAGATGATCTAATGCTAACAAAAAATTCAGTATTTATTTAGTCATTAAAGGTATTTTAGATATTTTAATTATAAATATGTGTCACAATGTCAACTAACACTCACCACACCAATGATTTAATGTCATGTGTCCATTACACATCACACAAACACCCACCTACCCACTCACCCTCTCTCACGCACTTACACACACATACATGAATAAATTAGACGCACGCACCCCACCCACCCACCTTCTCACCTTCTCACACACACTGACACACATAAATAATTCAAAACACACACCAAAACATGCACACACCTACTCGACACACACACACCACACACATACACACACAGTGCAGGCGGAAAGACATACACACACCGCCGCCGGCGTCACACACACGCAGCCCAACCTCCCCGCCTCAGCCGTCGTCANCGTCGCCGCCGTCGGAGCCGTTGAAACACCGCCTCCGGAGCCTGCCGAATTCGATTTAGACGTCAACGTCTAAAAAATCGATGTTTGTCGACAAAACATATGCAGACTAGCGATGCTCGTCGCTCGTGAAACTTCCGGCCGCCGCTGCGAACTCTCTGTGAGTCAGGCAGCTGGCGATGGCTCATAAGCTTCCTTGCCGGCGAGATGATAAGCTGGGACGGTGCAGCAGGGCGGAGTCCCGCCGGCAGCGGCGGAAGGATCTGGTTTTAGGGCTGAGGGCTAGTGATTGTGAATTTGATATGTTACAAGGGTTGGTTTCCAATTTTAAGATTTTTAGTTATTTACAATTAAACTATTGGGGTCAATGTGTGAATTCATAAAGATTTAACTTTATTCCAATTTAGTCCATGGGCCAAATATGTAATTTATAGAAAATATATCAAAACACATTATTTTGTATATATTTTTTTAAACATATATATCATGTCTTATAAATAAAAAATAATATAAAATTATTATATAAAAATATTAAAATCTTAATATATTTTAATATATAAATGTGTAATAAATTTGTAAATTCAAATTAGGGATCTTTATTTAATATATTTCAATTGAATTCCTTGGTCATATGTGTAATTTATATAAAATATATAAAAAACTACTATTTTTGTATATTAAATACACTTAAAAATATTATTTTTGTATATTAAATACAATTAAGTTTTATTGCATTTTATATTGTCGAATATTACACTTTATAAAATAATACGTTGCACTTTATAAAACAACATGTTTTAAATAACCGATCGCACTTTATACAGCCGAATATTGCACCTTATAAAATAACACGTTGCACCTTATAAAACATATTTTTAAATAATCGATCGAACTATATACAAAATATTTTTTTTTGTATTTTATATATATATATATATATATTATTTATTTCATCCAACAACAATATAAACTATTAACTAAAAAATTTATTAATACGAAATATATATTTTTTTTATAAAAAAATAATTGCACTTTAACGTTAGACGGATTGCACATTAGTGACTGTCAGATTGCACTATATCAACCAATGATTCGACCAATTAATAACTATTTAATTTTGTAAAAAATGTAACGGTTTTTATGATGTGCGTGTAAATTCACAAAATTGTGCATATAATTTATTGTTAATGTGCAATATATTAAACTTTTGATAAATTATAATACCATTACACTATTAAAATATCATCTAATAAAATTTCTAAAATTGCACAAAACCCCTACAAATTATCTAATTCTCACCACAAATCCCCAACACAAAAAAAATACAAATTAAAAATAAAAAATAAAAACAGAAAAACTATTTTGCTACAGGCGCACACAAACAAATACGACACACACACACACATACGGCTGCAGCCGCCCGACCGCCCACCGTCGCCCGCCCCATTTCCCGGCCGTCTTCTCCAGCCAGAGATGCCGCCGCCGTGACCTCACCACCTGGAAACAGGTCGCGGTCATCGTCGCCGACCACCATCGCACGACCTTCTTATCAGGCCAGCGTCATCGCCGCCGTTTCCGTCGCCGACTGGAAGCATGTCACAGTCACCGGCAAGCAGGTCCGTTCGACGCCGCTCGACGGCATAGTGGCCGCACCGGAATGCGGTCGTCTGTCTGACAGTGGTGCTCGACGGTCCGTCGATCTCGTAAAGGCAGATGCGAATGGCGTCGGAAATCCTTGCCGTAAGATATGGACGGGTGATGGAATCGGTGGAAGGTGGCAACATCGGATCTGTCGACGGCGGCGACATAACCGGCGACTTGTTGGGAAGCGTCTTCGGTCGACGGCAATGACATGACCGACGGTGGTGGGATGCGTCGCGATCTACCGGCTGGGAGAGGGTGGAGGAGAGATAGAAAGTGAGAGAGGAGGGAGAACAAAGGTGCATTATCCTCTGCATTCTGGCAATAACAGTGATGCCGAACGTCAGACTCTAGGTAGAGATTTTCGATGGGGCTCATCATTTCGGCATGTCGCAAGGTGAGGTGCTTGATTGTTTCTTTCAACAACGCGTTCACATTATCGTCGAAGAGTAGTCTTTCAACAACGCGTTGACATTGTCATTAAAGAAGAAAAACCAGACGATGTTGACGAGATGGACCGAAAAAATATCAATCGCTTAGCATGTGAACAATCCGTTCGTGTTTGTCCATGGAGTAGAAGTAAGAATGAAAACTTTGCTAACATCAATGAATGCCCACGTCACTGCATTCAATCAATTGGTTGCAATTTTTTTGAACTTGAAACAATTAATATTTGGCTCTAATGTTGTTGTCATCTCTTCCAGATGAGTTCGAGCACTTAGAGACTATCCTCCTCCTTGAGAAAGACGACGTAACTTTTGCAGTGGGTAGTTCAACTCTGTATATTTATGAGTTGAGGGAGAACAAACAAGAGTCGAAGAATGCAGCATCAATGGAAGATGAAACGTTGGTTGCAAGAGATCGGTCGACGAGCCAAAAGAAAAATAGACAAGTAAGATCATATTCTAAGGCCAAGCTTGACAAAGATGCATATGTTTCCAAGGGTGGAAGTGAAGACTCAAAATTCGCAAATTGATAGGATCCAAGGAATTATGTTTCAAAAAATGTCAACTCTGAGACACTGTAGTTTTCGTTGATGGAGATCGTCTGTCTCGTCGGGATGCTCGTCGATCGTCTAGGAACGTCGCTGAGTCAAGTCGGGCTGCTACAGGTCACGTTGCCGAGGTGCTGCAAGGTTGAAATGTCACATCACTAGGTTGCTCGCGTCTGGCATGCATCGGTGCATGTCGGTGGTTCGCACGTGTAGTCATCATCGGGTCGCGTCGTCGGATTGCGCCTCATCCGTCGATGGTCGTCGCCTTCAGTGGTGGTTGATCATCAGTGGAGGAGCTTAATAGGCTATGTATAACCTTGTTGGAATCGAAGAAATATAAAACCGTCGTATTGTTATTATGTGACCACTACAAGAAATCTGCCAAACAGTGACGAAAATTCATGTGACAAAAAGAAAATCGTCACCGTATGTTGCCTTATGGTGACGAATTTAATAAATCGTCACTTCACCATTGCATACGGCGACGACTCCTGCATTCGTCATCTTAGAATTCTTTTTTCGTCACATAATGGAATTTTTCATGACAGTGCACGTTAATTCGTTACCCATACATCTAAATTCGTCACATGTATATAAAATGTGACGAAATTAAATGTGACAAACAAACTGTCGTCACTGTTGTTGTTATTTAAAATGACGCTTGCGACTAATTTGTCATTATATAATTATTTATTGTGACGATACATTATAATACATCTAAATTTGTCACATTAATACGTATTGTGACGTAATTCACTACGACGAAAACAAATTCGTTGTTTTTCTTCGTATTTGAAATTACGCTTACAACAAATTCGTCATTATAAATTTTGTTTTGTGACAATAAACTATGAAACAGCTAAATTCGTCATATTAATACATATTATGACGAAAGTCACTGTGACTAATCAAAATCGTTGTGTTTTTATTGTATTTAAAATGACGCATATGTATAATTCGTCATCATACAACTTTCTTTTGTGGCGATATGTTATAATACATCTATATTCGTCACATTAATATATATTGTGACGAAATTCATTGTGACGATAAAAATCGTTGTTTTTATTGTATTTAAAATGACGCTCACCGTATAATTCGTCATTATATAACTTTGCTTTGTGACGAATTTGTGTCATAAGTGGTTTAGTAACAATCACAAAAATTATATTCGTCATTAAAATATGCACTTTAATAACGTCTTTTACTTTTGTCACTAATATCTTATATTGTGCTACGACATTATTTGTCACAAACATCATTTGTCATTAAAACATGCCCTTTTATTCAAGAAATAAATGACACATATAAAAGGAAAGCAAGATCGAAGAATGCTTCAAAAAGCAACTTTCAGAAAGTCAATTACAACACACAGATCAATAACATGATTGCATTCTTGATAACCGTCTTGTAGACATTTCAAAGTTGTTCGGTGCAAAGACTCCTGACAGAATTTAGTCCGAGAAATTATATACCTCTTATGCCATTCGAAAGAAACATGCCAACTATTCATTTAAATAAAGGAAACTCTTATAAGTTAAATGAAAGTAGAAAAAGATCCACTAACAAATCTTTTCATCCTCTCTCCTTTTTATTACAGTGATAGTATCAATATACTTTTGCTCTTCCCATATCTCATACTAAAACATCTCACCCGAATCCACCACTTTATTTCCACTGCTACCATTAAATTTCTTCTTGACTCTATCTAAAAACTCAGTCCCGGCTCGGTACAGTGAATGATTATCTCCAATTGCTTAAAAAAGATGCCACTGCCATTCGACTTTTCGCTTTTCAGGTATATTTTTGTCAGCTTTGGGGAGAAAAACCTCAGTGGGTAGAGAGAGAATGTTTTCGAGTAGGGACGTGTAACCTTGCATGATTTCCGAGGCCTTTAAATTTTTAGGTGTACTTTTTCACATAGAAGCGATATTAGTGGATAAGAAGAAGAATTTTCCATTCGAGACGGCTCGAAATATGATCTGACTGAGAAAACTCATGTCGGCCTTCGGGACAATATAGCTGTTCACCTTGTCACTGACCTAAGATTGTCAATAATATACTGAGCATATCAGGAGGGCCATATCCTCCAGTAATTTTGTAATATCCTGCAAAAGTAAATAACTATCAAAATTTGTTCACAGGCACAAAGTCGTCAGTGACAAAAACTTAATTCATGATTATTAATGGTTGAGGCTAAGGCAAATAACAAGTAGCTAAAAAATAATTTTTAGGATAATACTATTACAATAAAACACAAGGTGATCAAAACAATATTTTGCTTGTTATATTGTAACTCAATGCTCTCATCATGTAAAGTTGGATAAGTCCTAGTCCAACGTTCATCAATATTCATGATATTGAAATTGTTATTTGAAATAACCGCTCCACGATAAGCTTGATAAGTAAAAATTGGCCACTAAATTATATAGACAGAATATTTGGATTATGTCCAGTACTATCTTTAGTGCAACTTGAGCTGAAACTAAATACATAATATGTATATGTAAGGAAATTTGAGTAATTGATAAAATCCAGATGCTCCTCCAAAATACACCAGGATTGTCTGGTTAACTCTCTCATATATGTGAGCCAGAGGTAGATATGATATATGCCTAGCAAGTTAAACCAACACTTTACCATGAAGACAGAGTTCCACGAGATAAAAAGCAAAATGTCTAAAGACAAACAGAACTAATGTTGAACTATAGGCAAAATGTCTTAAGAAAACGGTGAAACAAAAGACAAATAGAAAGCACCAAAATTACCACGTAGACAAAGGCTCAAAACAGGACCAATGTATACAAACAGAACTAATGTTGCACTACATATCATTATAAACTACTACCAATAAAATAATGATACAAGCACATAGTTTATAAGAAAATAATGATAACAATGAAGTGCAGTTGGAAACTTGTATAATGCTGGGAGCAACAGATCGAAACATTGTGATACTAATATTGAGCTTAGATTGCTCTTTTCGGACTATGAATCAATGAATATTTTTCTGAAAAAAAAAAGTCAATCAAAAGCTCAGCAACTAGTTCAAAATACACAGCACTCACACCGTAACAGGGCAAAAAAAATTACAATATATACATGCTCCTTCTTCTCTAAAACTTTAACATGCTCATGACTAAAACTCAAGGTTGAGCTTAACACTTCCAAAAGCTCACGAAACAGTACATAACCACAAAGAATAGCAGCCTCTAATCTCATAAACATGCTAAGCACAAAACTCATGCAATTCTTGCTTCATACTCCTCTAAACTTATCCAAACTTAACGACATATGAATAAGTCTAGAAACTGGTCCTTAACAATTCAAAAACACTTAATCTCAGCCACAAGCCATTTAAATAGAGGCTTGATTCAGCATTCAAAAACAAGGCTCAAAGTAGTAAAACAACAAAGCCATTACTATGCTAAATTTTCCTTTCAACAGAAATAAAATAAGCAAGCCTTTCCAATACTTTTATTGAACATTTATCTCTGAAATTACACATCAAAACCGTAGCATACATAACATAAAATATGCTCAGCAAGTTCTATACACACAAGGCACAAACAATACAATCCTTGCTTCTTTTCTCGGCCAAAACAGGGATATAAAACTGAAACCAAAGCATATGAATGTCACGAAATCTCTTCCCAAAGCAAGGATAAACTCAGCTCAATCGAAGGTACCTGTTACGGGACTTAAAATGGAAAAGAAGATGGCTCGATTTCTGGTTGAAGGGCTCTCGAAAAACACTCGGCTTGCTGCAGCCTGCTACAAGCTCCCGAACAAATCTCGGTACTAGAAATTTCACGTTTTCGGATTGCCGGAGGCTTGGTTCAGCCGGGCGTGCTCATATTTACTCAGTTGCTGGTAAAAGCTTGGCGTTGGGTGCTCGGGAAACTGCTTCAGTCGCAGATTGCCTACTCTCGGCTTCGCGCAGGGACAGCTCTCTGCCGCGAACAGAGGCCTCCTCTCGCCGAAAATCTGTTGGCCGACGGTCGGGGTTCGTCGTCACGCCTCGAGGTCGAAGTTCAGAGGTCGTGGCTCGACGTCGGAGAGTGTGAATTCGAAACAAACAGTCATTGAATGTGAATTTGTGAGACTGGGAGTGCAAATTCAAAGAAGAATTTGAAGGTAAAGGTGCGAAGTTTGTGTGTTTGTACTGTGCGAAATTGAAGTGTTTGTATTGCAAGAGTATGGGACATTGAAGTGTTTGTACTATGCGAAGAGTTTGGGACTTGGATCAATTGAGAGGGAGTTTCAATTAAGAATTAGAGATTTTCTATAATTGCAATTAATAGTTAAGGTTGTTGTCAAATTGAACCGAACCGAGCCAAAAGTTTTTGAGCTCGAGTTCGTCCATATTTTCTAACATGTTCGTGTTTGTTCGTTTAACAAATCGAATAAATATTTTATTCGGTTCGTTTGTTAGGTTCGACAAGTTCGTGTTCGTTCATTTATATAATCGAACTTGTTCACGAACTGTTCGAATTTTTCAAATTGCTCGACAAGTTCATGTTGGAATTGTTGACATGCTCGTCTTTGTGTCTGTTGATTTTTGTTCGCGAATGTTCGTTTAATTCTCGAACTTGTTCATGTTCATTCCATAACTAAGTTGTCATCGAACACGAACGAGCTTTGTTCGGGAAAAATAGCCGTACGAGGGTCAATGGAGAGAAATTGAAGTGTTGTGAAGGTGAACATCCTTATTTAGATTAAATTTTAATATAAATTAATATATATATATATATATATATATATATATATATAAGCACTTACCATAATTCGACTAAAACCGAAAAAACCGACAAAACCAAAAATTTTGGTTAGGTTTTTATCCGACTCGGTCGGTTTTCAGTTTTAGTCGAATTATGTTTCGGTTATTTCGGTCGGTGTCGGTTTTCGGACAACAATGTCCGAAATAACCGAATTGACCGAATAATATATGTATATGTATATATTATATTATATATATAATTTAATATATAGTATATGGATATATTATATTACAATATATATTATAATATATATTATAATATAACACATATATATATATTTTAAAATGTACAGTTTGGTCGGTTAATGTTCGGTTTAAATTGATAATTCGGTCAGTTTCGGTTATTGGTATAGTTTGGTTCGATTATTTCGGTTTTCCTAATTCGGTTCGGTTGGTCGACCGGACCGACCGATGCACAGCCCTAGTTGAATCCGTCAAAATCAGTCAAATATGCTAATCAGACCGGTTTTGAATTGGTCTAATTTTTTTAAAATAAACGAATATATTTAATAGTATATTTAATATAAATAAAAATAGATATTTACCTATAATGAATATATATTGAAGTTATTATAAACAAGTTAGATTAAATTTTGAATGACTTAAAATTACTTAGTGTGCCATTAAGAACCCAAAATTATACCAAATAATTACCTAATTTGTATCTCCCCAAACCAACCCCCTGTTCACAAACCCAAAAACAATCATCTGCCCCATTCATATTCATCAATCCATCCTAAATAAATAAACACAAACCTAAAAATCAGCTTGCTAATCGCCATTAGATCTGAAATCTCGACTCATTTTTTATCCGAAGCTTGAAAAATTGGTGTGAATTTGCCGATTGATGAACAAACTTCACGAGGTAATCCAAATTGAATCCTCTGCCTCGATGACATCCGCCACCTGCTGCTCAAAATCGGAGGTGAGGACGCGGACGGAGACGACGACCGTGCGTGATACAGAGGTCGACGACGCGGATGAGGGTGAGATTGGTGGTGGTGCGGGAAGACAGCCGGGTCTGTATGGTGGCGGAGAAGGTGTTGCGGCCAAGTGACAGCCAATTCTCGATGAGTCATGTCGTCGGTGCAGAGGCTCGCCACGCCCATGGTGATCCGGCACCACAGGTTCGGGGCCTTCTATTCTCATATGAATCATTCCTATTTTTCGGGTTTTTGTTGTTAATTTTTTGGTTTTTTGTTGTAATATTTAACTTAATTAATTTTTCGGTTTTTGTTCTAAAATTTAGCTTAATTAATGGTAATATGGTTATCTTTTCCTAACCTTATTCACTAAAATATTGGCGGAGAAAAATTTTGATTTGGCGCTCACTGCCTCGTTTCATTTTTGGTACTCTTATCTAATTAAGGTAGATAAAGACTGAATTCAATGTGATCGTATCTTCTGCTAAAATCTCTCCTCTCACTCTCACTCATAAAAGTCCAATATTAGGCTAACAATGAACAAAGTTATAACCTGCATTCTCTTTTGCACCAGTCTGTTCTAGAGGAACTCGAGGTCTACATACTCTAGTTTTATCTTGCTGGGAGGCATTGACGCCAGGGAAGAGAAGGTTGTTCTCTGATGATCTAAGTCAAGCATTGAGACCTCATGGACATAGAGCCTTCCTCTATGATTTGGAACTTGACTGGCTATCAAGAGTTAGAATTATGTTTTACAGAATTTGTATCCAATAATAGATTGTTTGGTTGTGCCTTAAATGTAAGGTTGAATAATTAATTTATGTTATTCATTCTTTCTGATGGATTTGTTTTTGCCTCAGACTTTCATGTATATATATATATTTTTTTTTGCCTCAGTACAGATTGTTTCCAATGGCTCATGGATTGGTTCGAAATTCAAAAGCAAGAATCATACCAAATAATTCTCGTCAGAGTCTCATAGAACACATGACAAAGACAGGAGGTTTAGCAAGGAGTAAAACCCGACAATCCGAGAAAACTTATATGGCATCAGACAAAGTGAACAATGGATTGCCAATAACGGATGGTTCATCTATAGGAAGCAAAATTGTGAATCTGACGTTCGAGGGAAACATGCCAACTATTCAGCCTCCTCAAACTCAGCAAAAAGAGAGGACTCTGCAAAATCAAAGTCAGCAAAAAGGAAGCACTCCTCATCCTCCATCACATGAGGGAAGTCAACATCCACAATCACCTTAGGCAGATATCATTGGTACTTATCTAATATTCCGAAACCGTTGCGATTTTACAGTTGCAAAACATGCTAAACATGTTGTAATTGCCTTATGTGGTAATTTGTTGTTGAAAATCAGATTACTTGGCTTCGGGGTAATGTGTGCTCATTCTGAAGGATAACATATCTACCTGTTAAGTGGCAGTGGCAATTGTTGATGTGATGCTTGATAAATTCTTCTACGTGTTTGATGTTTTGTCCATGTAAACAACTAAGAGTTGCTTGTTTGAGATATCAGTACTTGTGTTTCTCAACTTCTGGATTTCTTTTATCCTATTATGCATACTTTAGGTAAGTTGGTATATGAATTGTTTTGGTGACGGCAGTAAATTCTTTATCTATCTTATACTGGAGGTTGCCAATGGGAACAATTTATTCTCTGTGTGTTTCTCTATCATGGCATTCGCATAGTGTTTATAGCAAAACAATCTCTTTTCTGCGTATCTCCGTTCCAAATGTGGTTTGTCAAATTATATTTTGAAAGTTTGTTATGTATAATTCATTGGATTTACTTGGTAGTTTCTGTTTAGAAGTTATGAACTTAGAATGTAGAAGTTACCTAGTGGATTTACCTGGTGGTTTAGAAGTTTATTTCTGTTTCTAATGTGGGTTGTCTTATTATAGTCTGGAAACTTCATCTGCAAAATTCATCAGTTTCACCTTTGTTATTTGCTAAATGTTGATAAATGTGTTATTTAATCTAGTTTGAAACTGTAGTGATTTGTATAATATCAAAAACATGCTTGCTTTGCTCATTTGAGTCAAAATACATGTGCTTTTGCCTTTTTGTTTGATAAAATACAGTCTTATGAGTATGAAGCTTTTGACTAATTAAAATAACCGAGTGGTGAACATGTAGCTTCCAATACCACCATTAAGAAAAGGCGTGGACAAACCATGGGCAAAGGTATTGAGCTTAAAGACACAAGAAAAGTTGTGTGACAAAGAATATGAAGTGATTGAGCTTAAAGACCAAGTTAGTGATTTGAAAGACCAACTAAGTCAACAAGGTGCAAAAGTCGACAAACTTATGGCTTTCATGGTTGACACTGAGAACAATATCTGAGATTGTTAGGCTTTTTATTATTATTATTATTATTGTTGTTTATTTGGAACATTTTGAGATAGTTCCTTTATTTAAGTTTTTAATTAGCAAAACTACTATTATTGTCGTTTTTTAATTTATCATCTACAACATATTACTTTCATATATTAATTATAAAGATTTTGTCACTGTATTTTCTTTTTAATGACTTGTTCAGAGTGACGATAGATTTTATCACTGTATTATATATTCAATGACAAATAAATTTATCAGTAAATATCTTCAATTAATGACAATTATTATATTTATAATAGTGACAAATTTTAAATTATCATTGAAAATACACTTTTTTTGACAACATGTAATCGTGATGTATTTGTTTGGATTTGTCACCATATGAAATGTTAATATGACAATAAATTTTGTCACTAAATATTTACCTTTTCATGACAACTTATGTTGTCATTATATCTTAAACTTTTGATGACAATTCTTTTTTTTTTTTTGTAATCATAGAGATAATAATTTCATGGCAAAAGAATTCGTCGCTTTTGTATGTTTTAAGAGACAATGTATATTGATGGGTCTACTTCTAGGTCCGCAGTAAACCGGTGGTTGTGAGTTCAGATCTGCTTGAACCGCCTTGAAACCGTTGCTAGATCGCAAGAATCCCTGCAAAAACTCAACGCCGGAGGTGTTTCCGGCGTAGAGCCTCCGACGCTCAAGTCAGTATGAGAGTGATGAAGAGAGGCTGCGCAGCAGCTATGGGGGAGAGTGGGAATGAATGAGAGTTAGGGTTTAGGGTTACCTCATCTCCTTTATATAGGAGTGAATACTTATGTGAAGTGCCCAAAATGCCCAAATCGGTGGACCTAGAAGGTCCAAAATGCCCCTGTCGATTCGTCTCCCCTTATTGCTGAGTCATCACAAGATTCCTTCTTATCCTTCCTAATGTTGAAGGCTTCGGATATGTTGCAAGTGTGGTGAATCGTCATCACATCCTTGTTATTTAAGGTATGTGAAGTCGACTTCGAGATCTAGGAAGTCGACTCGTGGATATGTGCGGATTTGGAGGCTACGCTTGACTAGTTCT